CTTCCTTCCTTCCTTCCTTCCTTCCTTCCTTCCTTCCTTCCTTCCTTTGTAATTCTTTCCTTCTTTATTTCCTTCTTTCCTCTATTCTGTGACAGGGTCTTATTCCACAGCTATCTGGCTATCTTCAAATTTGCAGTCTTTCTATCTTTATGTCACAAGTGATGGGATTACTGAGATACACCAAGACTGTCTGTATCCTTGTTTTTTCGTAGCACAAGTAATAAGTGCTAGTAATCTGACAGCATTTATAACAAGTACTGGATCTGTACTAAAAGGAGTAAAGATGACCAGTATTTATTATTTTTCCAACATCTAGCATGGTGCTTGCTACCAATAATGGAGAATGCAGTATCTAGAAAATAATTAAAGGACCTTCCCAAGATTATTAGCAAGAAATTGATTGAGAAATATAGGACAGAAACTCCTATAAACCCCTAGCTTGAGGGGAGGCTTCTGAAGAAGGGCTTATACATGGTTTCAGAAGGGTAAAACTGAAGAGAGAAAGAATAATGGCTTTATGATGGGGTAGGATATCCAAGGAGGCAGAGGAAAAGGAATCAAGATTTTTTTTGCAGGTGTTAGCCTTGGCAGGATGAACAGACAAAGTCTCCTGTGGGAGATAATGTAGGCACAGTATGAATGGGGATGGGAACTGGGAAGGTGTTGGTAATACCTTTAATCAACCTGAAGAAGTTGGAGACCTTTGAGGAGAACCAGAGGCCTAGGGGAGGGGAAAATTCTCGGGGCAGTGGGCGTGTAGGAAGGTGTCAGGTGCAAATCAGCAAGAGGTCTGTGGGTGGAAGAGCTCGTCCAGGACTGCAGAGAGGGAGAAGCATGCTGACACCTAGCAGCCAATGGAGTCTAACACCAGCCACATCAGCATGAGACTCTCAAATATATTTTTGAGAGTCAATGTTTTGTTTTAATTTTATTGTATTTTAAACAACCATTGTTTTTTTTTGGCCCAATTGCTTAATCTTTTTGTAATAATTTATTAATAATAATCCACTGAAGGAACATTTTCTGGCTTTGCCATGGGGGAAAATGTGACATTTCATAGTTGCTTTGTGTTTCTCTAACACAAAGGTTTAGTCCAGATTCTCAGAGAGTAGAATTCAATGCACTTCATCTAAATCTGTAGGATGGGACACAGCAAAGTTACTATATTGGGTTTTATACTAGTAATTTCTTTTCTTTCCCAGGAATGGTAATGACATGGAGATAGAATATTGTAGATTCAACTGCAGTTTTGCAATTATTTTGTAAAGGTCACCTGAGGGAGGAGAGCCATTCTGAGTATGGATGGTATCATTCTCTTGGACCACGAAAGATGAGGGGGAAAAGTTGCTAACAGAAATTTTCTTTTTCTTTTCTTTTTTTTTTCAAGACAGGGTTTCTCTGTGTAGCCCTGGCTGTTCTGAAACTCACTCTGCAGACCAAGCTGGCCTTGAACTCAGAAATCCATCTGCCTCTGCCTCCCAAGTGCTGGGATTAAAGGTCTGTGCCACCACTCCCCGGCTGAAATTTTCTTTTTCTGTTTCAGGTTTGTAATGACATGAACTGCTGTACTTCCAGAATGACTATGAAATAAGCAGGTCTTCTCTGCCACATATTCCCACTGCCATGATGTCCTCTTCAAGACCATTGGGTCATGTGACCATGGGATGAATGTCCCAAAGCCCTCCCTCCCTTTAGGTTGTTCAGTTACAGACAAGTGAACTGTAAATAGCATACTTCCTGGCTACTGAAAGGCCATGCTAGTGGTAGCCAGCTCACCATTTACACAGAAGCTGTAGGAGGAGCTAAGATGGGAGGAGTATGGAGAGGAAGAGGAGGAGTAAGGAGGAGAGGAGGAGAGTTGGGTATTGGGTTACACTTCTGATTGTATGGGCATCTTGTTACTGATCATTATCAAATATATAAGCTTTTGGATAATTTAAGAATTAGAGACTCATTTTCCTACTGGGTCCCCGTGGATGGTGGAATGGTCTGGGCAATGCCCAGCCTTGCAGAGACAGTGTGGAAGATTGGCAGAGCCATCTCCCATGCTGACATCTCGTGGGTGGCAGGGCTGGTGTTCTGGCTGGCTGTTTCTAGCTGTGGTGCACACGTGGCCTCTGGCCAAGAAACATGGTGGCAGAGTTAAGCAGAGTTGCTTAAATATCTCCCACAACAGGAATCCAAGTGACAGAAGCCTTTTTGATACTTAGCATCCTAGGCTTACGCTAAAGCACTAAGTACTTCTGCCTTCTAGAGACCTCCCATCTTTGTCTGGGTACAGAAATGATTCATTTCATGTAGGTTCAGTGTCATAGAAATAGAAGCCCCCACAGATACCAGTTCTCAGTGCATTTAGAGAGAATCCTATGTTGGAGATCCTAGACTGGCTGGATAGGGTACTGTCAGAGGCTGTCAGAAAGTTGCAATTGGAGTTCAGAGTTCAACTGGGTAGTGGGGACAATTGATTTATTTTCTGGAAAACACTTCATATGTCTCTAAGATGCCATCAGTATGTTGATGGTCTAGTGAGGTAAGATGACTTGTTTATTGTGCTGCATATGTTTCATAAGACAACCACTGTCACATACAGAGTATCTCAGCAACTCTGAGTCATAAGGGCAGACGGTGACTATTAATTATA